GTTTTTGTTGAGTCAGGTCACCCCATTCCACATTTGTGCCAGTTAACTTTTTAAGTCAACTGTAGACTTTCCTCTTGCCCACACTCACTCTTTTCCTCTTGATACTGACTTTTGGGAAGAGGCCAGGCCAGTTGTCTTGCAGAACATATGACACATATGTAAGACACAACCAACCTTAGTACCATAGTTTCCTTTCTGAAAACTCATTCAACATTTACTGAGCAATATGCAAGTCAGTTAGGCACTGAGGAGAAAGAGGGGCAATCCGGCTTCAAACTTGTGAAGGGACAACTAGAACACAAAAGTTTTATGCCATAAAAGACCTGTACACACAATGTGGAGGGCCCAGACGCACCCCTAATATTGCATGTGAGGGGCAGGGGTGCGAATCAGGGAAAATGACTCAAAAGAGACAGTGTTTGGACTTTCACTTGCAGGGCACACAGTGCCTCTCTGGTTGAGGCAACAGCCTGCTCACAAAGGTGTGAAAGCATGAGCCCCTAGCTATCAAGGAGGCTATCACATCAAGGAGCACACAGAGGTGTTGAGAAAATAAACCACACAGAAATGGAATGGACCAGGAGAGACCTTCTATACCACATTAAGATGATCTGGTTTTTAACACAATCCTATTTATATTTTAAGATGACAAATCCACTAGGACTTGGGGACAAGGCCTTAGGGAGAACCCAGACCCCAGTAGTGTCTGGTACTTGGCTGGGGATTGACATCAGGTTTTACCTCTGTAGTTTCCTGTATCTTTTCCCACCTCTCTCATTCTCCATTAGAAATTTCACAGCTCAGCAGTGAAATGAGAAGCAAATTGATCAAGGACCTTGTCCTGAAATTTATTCCTTGGTTCTTCATTAACTCCACAAATCCGTCTTTTTCTGCAATGAACTTAGGACATTTTTTTCCTATGAATAGTTATCAAATTAAGAAAAAACATCTAAGTAACCAAACAACATATCACCTTTAATTTATACTTCAGAAATATCACCAAGGAAAAAAGGAAAACTGAGCTGAATTCATAGGACTGGCTTCCTGATCTTTTCTCACTGTTGCCTTTATTGCATTTAGAAATTAAATTTTACTATGCCTTAGGCTTAAAATTAGACCATTTTTATTTAATAACAAATTATTTCATACTCAATTTTATCTGTTTCATCAGTTTTGCTATTTGGCAAGATATTTGGCATTAACCAGAAATATGATACAGCTCTTACAGCTGCAAAGGTTAAAATATGGGTTGAATTGAAGGCATTAAATTATACTCAGTAGTTTCACCTACTGTATTTTATTGTAATCTTGATTCTTTGAAAATCTGTTTATCACTATCAGCATCCCAGCAACCAGGCACAAATGCAAAAAATTTTCACTATGCTATCAATTCTCTCATTAAAACCCAACATCCCCTATGACATAGGTATTTTTATTTGCATTTTTACCACTAGGAAACTGAAGCCAAACAAAGCATCTAGTAGTAAGTGGTACTAAGACATATCTGACTCCAATGCCTATGCTCTTCTTTTAATCCGTAAATAGCAAATTTCACAATACAAACCATTGGTTCTCAACTGGGGACAATCTACCCCTACGTGAGTGGATATGGGGCAATGTTTGGAGGCACTGTTGATTTGTCACATCTACAGGAAAGAAGAAGAGTGCTACTGGTATCTAGTGGGGAAAGACCAGGGATGCTGCTAAAATCCTACCATGCACAGGATGGTCCCCCTCAGCAAAGGATTATTCAGCCCAAATGTTAAAAAAGTGCAGGGGTTGAGAAACCCTAGTATAAACAAAATACTCCACAAGATGTCTTCTTACAGGAGCATTACTACCCCATACTGTTTTTTTCTGAAACCAATTTTTAAAATCAGTGAAAATAGCTTTAAACTGTTAACTAGATGTGTATGTATTTAAAACATACACATGTATTCCTTTGAGTTTATACTGTATACTGTGAAACCATCACAGAGCTTTGAATGCTTCAACCTCAAATATTATAATATTATTAGATACTGTCATATAAAGGCACAGGAGTGGGAAATATGTGTCTATATTTGACATGTTTTCATTGACATGTGCAGTTAAGATCTTCTGTTTAATAAAGGATGCAAAGAGGGAGGAAGAAAGGAAACCCTGAGTGACAGCATATTGAAGTTTTATAAAACCAACATTTTTTAAAAGGCACAATGAAGCCACACCATGAGGCAGAAAACTGCTTTCTTGATTTTATTTCAAAAGTACACAGGTCACAAAACTAGAGCAAGTTGTTGTTTTTAAAAACAAATTTTGTTCTTACAAATTTCAAAATCTGCAACATTGGATACTTAAGCTAGAAACCTTAAAAATAAAATTATTTTTGAAACTGATACTATCAATTATCTACTTGTATGTGAAGTGTCAAAATATTTTTTCTCAGTAGTATAAGTGTATTTAATACAAAAGTTCAGTTGGGACAAGAATAAGTGAATCAATGAATTGTGGTTCTTTTAACACTTGCATCATTAACTAAGTTAGCAGAAAACACAGAACTCTTCCTTGATGGGAGCTTTTAGTATTATGACCAAAACCAAACCCAACTGATACTCAACACCTTCTTAAATTACAAAACAGGGTATTTTGTAAACTTGACCTTAACTGACAGTGAGAAGCCACATGAAGAAAATTGCTTGCCGGTGTTATAATCTACAAGGTAAACAGAACCACCATTCACAAATGCATTATTCTTCTCTGCTTCTATGACTTTTATAAGTAGAATTTATGCTCAGTTATGGACCATTTTAGTGTCAAAATAGGCAATGAGTAAAAAATCCAACTGCAGAACATGTTGCCTTTATTGTAAGAATATCCAAAGGCATTTGAAATATTAAAACTTGCCCAGAACATTTATACTAGTAAACACAGACATATTATAAAGATATATGTACATATATATAATATATAATGATGTCACAAGCTACTGAAGTTAAATTGTGCCAACTCTTTCTACAAACTACTTCTAACATGACACATCAAAGTATTAACTACATAAAATATGGACTTTTCTGTTCACACTGGAAAAAGGCATCTGAAAGCCCTATTAACACTGTGGAAATGAAGAGATTAGAAAAAAACTTTAAACATTCACATAACTTCAAATTTGCATGCCACATGCATACAAAAAGACAGAACAGTTATTTTAAGAAGCAATCAATACATTAAAGAATTTGATATCCAACTTCATGCAATGAGTTTTCCTTGTAACTAATCAAAATGTTTACTTGCCCCTTTATTTGCTACAAATTTCCAGAACTCAATCTTAAAAATGATCTTTTTAATAAAAATCAGATATTTCTCCAAATCCCTAATCTAATTGTGTTTCTTCAACTAACCTCCCTCCCCCTAAGAAACAGTCAGGCTGTGTTTTCTTTATAACAACTTCATGGCAGATAGCACAAATCTAAAGAAGTTATTTGCCTGGAAAAATTTTTCAGTGTAATCAGTAAGATTTGTCTTTTTTTCCTTCTAACAGGAATATTGGTAAGATTGCTGACAAGAAAAAGAACACCTATAAACAAAACATTCAAAGCACAGAACTACAGATTCAATGGCATCCTTTTCAAGTTATCCTGTATGACTCAAAGAGATGGTGTCAAGTTTCTTAGGTGTAAAGTTGAATGAAAAGGTTTTGCTTCAAAGACAGCAGTGAGATCCTTGACTGACTGGCTTTCTAATGGCAATGAATGAATAACTATTTTTGGTTGAACTGCTTGCTTGATGATTACCAAGAGTAATTCCAGAACAAACATTGATCTCTGGTTTGACTGAATTTACCAGTAAGACTTATTTGGAAGGTTGTCAGTACTATATAAATTTTGGGTCAACTGAAATTTACACTGACAGTAAATGGAGGTACCATCTTTAACCTTACACCCAGTAGTCTCTTAGGTCACACAACTGATTTTTCACAAGCTCATATCTCAGGGCTAAATGGAAAGCACTTCTGGATGTGGTTCTGATTAACTTATAGCCAAAGCCTAGCTTAGTACACCTTTTATAGTAATTTCTGCTTAGACTGATAGCAAAGTCATTGTATGAAAGTTGGTAATAGAAAGAACCAAAATTATTTTATTATTAAAGTTGTGATCTGTTATTTATTCTTATAATATCTTATAAATTTTACTCATATAAAATAGGCCAGACATCTGGCATTCAAAAATAGCTACCACTGTAAAATTATAAACAAAGAGCATTGGTGGTTCTGAAATTTTAAAATTTTGTGTATAACACAGTCAGTCAAAATTGCATCCAAAAAGAACAGAGAAGAGGAGGCAAGAGTCAAAGTGAGGATAGAAAGGTGTCACAGTGATGTGTTTTAGGAACAGTACCTTCACCTCTAAGCACCTTTTAGGTGATAGCTAGCTCATAGGCACGAGAAATTCATAATAAAAATTAAATTACCCAGAAGGCACAGATGAAAATGTTAATGCAAGTATAAAAGCAGTATTATGTAAGGTTAAAAACCTATATAAAAAATGCTTCCAAATTAGGTGTAACTACATTACATAGATAATCCATTACACAGATATTCACCTTAAATTTACTATTAAAAAGTATACACAATACTCTTCCTAATCATAAATTCATGCCAACATTAATTTATAATGTAGCATTAACCACCACAGCACCCAAAGAGATTAACAGAAACCAGCTCCCTACTAAAATCTAGGGAAAAGGTTTTAGAGCTAGAGTAATAATTTATTGTAAACCACAGCACCCAAAGAGATTAACAGAAACCAGCTCCCTACTAAAATCTAGGGAAAAGGTTTTAGAGCTAGAGTAATAATTTATTGTAGACCTTATTTACTATAAAGAAACTGTCGGCTCTTTCTACTATAGCCACACTCCCTCACAATCTTAAGGGAAATACAATAAAAGTCACTTTCTTCTACTAGACAGCATTTAACACATTTGGCAGTTAGAAGTACTCCTATTCCCTTCATTTCTTTCTTTCTTTTTTTTTTTTTAAAGAATAAATCACTTTCACAAAACTAATACTCAAACTCTTCAAATCTCAGCTTGATTTTTCTGTAACTACACAAAGACATGCTGGCCATACAACAGCAACGGCACATCCTCCCAGGTCTGAGGTACAGAACTGATGGAGGACACTTACTAGCTTAAAATGTATTTCCTCATGCAGAGTCTGTAAAGAACATAGCCTCCAGGAACCCGCACTCAGGACGGTAACTTTAGGATTACATGTTTCCAGAACATATATGCAACACCATCCAAAAAAAACAAAAAACAAAACCACTGAACCAGAAGGAAAAAATTTAGAACTGGTAATTAGGGAATTTCAACTGTAATTAATCAAATAATAAATTAGTTATAATTTTTCTTATTAGAAAAATACCACCTTAAGTAGAGGGCCACTGTTTAGCTGAGAACTGCAGAATACCATGTTCTCGATGTGGCTTCTCACTGTTCTGAAGACTACCACAGGTGCGGGGTCAGAGCACTCAGCAACAAAATCCATACTCATGGCTGCCCCACTGGTGATATCACTATATGTAGCCGACAGCAAGTTTTCTAAGTGAGTAAGAGAGATGCTCCTTTTTTTAGCATATAAAAGAACTTATATGTCCCTGTTGCCTGTAACAGTCTATCAGTTAAACAGTTAAGAACTCATTTCACAGACAAGGTTTATGAATGACTCAGAAGCAAAACTAAAGTTTTCCAGAACACTGTATGTAGTGTTTTCTGTATTAGAGATTCCAAAACATAAGAGTTTTCAAAGAAACTATAAAAAGAACAAACATTAATATATGTAAGTATTTTTTCCATGAATGTTTCTTTACCCATTTGGGGGAGACTGCTAGGTCATAAATTAATTGAAAAAGCAACCTAAAAATAATGGCAGAAATTTTAAGGTACTACTTTCAGATGATTCAAGTATCAACTTGGTGTGCATGAAAGTTCACCAGTTTCTTCACCTGTAACTTCATATACAAAGTGCTACATCTCAACTAAGTGTTGGTATTTAGAAACCTCTCAAACCTATCAAATCAACCTCTTCAAGGAAATCTTTTTCAGATGGTGAATTTGTCTTGAGTAACTTTAATACCTTTACTATTTCAATATAACCAAACGATACTTTTTGAAGTATAGTTGGTACAGTTTCTAGTTACCTTCTTTCTGATATTATTTTGAGGCTGGTAGCAAAATTTAGAACAGAACATGTTTTCATATTTAAGAGAAGTGTGCAGAACACAGACAGACGACTCTATACTATAGACCCATCCTTGCTTTGTGCCGGAATCATCACAGGCACCGCTCCCATCCTACTGAGGTTTGGGGCAGCTACCTTAGCAGGCGGGACAGTTGGACTCTGGGGGGCGCGTTCAAAGTCTTCGCTTGGTACTTGGTTGTACTGAGTCTTGGAATATCCATCCATGTTGGAAGGGGACAGGGATCCCAGGGATGAGTGATTGCTGCCAATGTAGCTTCTGGCAGTGGATGTACGGCTCTTTGGAGGAGGCACATCTTCCCTAAAATGCAAAGATGTCAATTCAAAATCAAAGAACAAGTTTCTAAGAAGCCTTTAATTATGTAACCTATGAATCATGGGTAGGGGTGAGAAGACCCTTTATTTAAGCATTAAGTATATAAAAGTTTGTGTGATAAAGAAAGCAGCACAATATGGCACAATGTCATGAACTGTGTATTTGTCCCAAATTTATCATTTACAGACTATGTGTCTTCACACATAATGAAATGTGGTTTTTACAAAAATTTATTATTCTACAATATCTAATACAGAACCTCAAATATTTTCATGTTTTAGTATGTTCATTCATACTATTATTCATAATATTATTCAAGATAATATAGGAGTCATTAACACTTTATAGTTGATAAAGCACTAATACCTACAGATATATTTTGCTTCCCAAAAAAAGAAAAAAAATCCTTTTTGTTATGAAATCTATCTATGACCTTAGCTGGAAACGTAGCAGATTAAGGCTGCAAAAGCTAAGAATTTAGGCACAAGAACTTTCACACCAAGCACAGACAAGGAATATACATCTGAGCTACCTCTAGTACATTTAAAAAATAAAATACAAGTGCCCAGACCCCACCCCAAATGATCCCAAATGTCAATTTCCTAGGTGCTATTTAAGTCTGATGTTTTCAAAAGTTCTGAAACCCAGTGTGCACTTCCAGTTAAGATCTACTGGTTTAGAATATTTAAAAAAAATAATAAAATCACATTACCAATAGTTCTCTAAACTACCCATGTTACTAATGATAGTCAGTTTTTTTTCCCATAACGTCAACATTTGCTCCATTTTTTGAAAACTTCTTGCCTGCACTTCATTAAGAGAAAGCAGACAACCTTGAGATAAGCATGCTGCAGTGGTTCTTAACAAAGGGTCCAAAACTGGGGTGGGGTGGGGAGGCAGGACACAAAAGAGGGTGGCTGGATCTGAACACTTGAAATTGAAAATAAAAGCTTTCAAATGTATTGAGAGATTACAACCCTTAAA